CACGACGTGATTTTCCAAAGGACAAAATATAATCTTTGTGGATTAGTCTTATAAGACTCTTCCAATTCCCAGATGTGTTAGGAACTGATCTTGATTTTCATACTGTCTCCGTCTTTTACCTTTGGCTTATACATTTTCTGCAAAATCTAATTCTCTTTAAATGTTGGAGCCATTTGACCGACAACTAATCTACTTGGTATAGTTTAATTCTTCTCTCATTGGTTTATGGTATGATAAATTTTCCGGTAACCGGCGATAATCGTTAGGAACATCACTTCAGCTCTTTGTTTCCGTCTGTCTCGTCATCTTTAGCCTCCACAAATTAAAACACACTGCATAAACTAGCACGCCTGTCTCATTTAGATATTCCTAATTCTCTACTACTCCGACTTATTGACGTGACCCTAAGTAGAGCAAAACTGAAAAGTTATTAATACGAAGAATCCCCATGATCTACCGCATTAAGAAGTGAATAGATCCATGTATTGAAATCTGCAAGACATTTCACATAATACAATTTCAAATTAAGTTACCGACCACGTAGGAAATTCAATTAATTAAAATAACTTTTAATTTAAAATCACGACGAGATCTTAATTTTTATTAAATACCAACAATTGCGGACAAGTAGTTAGCACTCCTGCTTCGTATTTAGGAGGTTCAAGGTTGAAATCTCGGCCCGGTGACCGGATAGAGCCACGACCGCTTCCTTTTATATCCTTTCTAATTCAGTATTCGTTAATTGTTCTATCATTACAGTAATCTATACTGCCTCAGCTAAGATGAACGTCATTAAATGTTCATAAAAATCCAATTTTATTAATTGTAATTCTCGGATTACTTTGTGATTGGAATAAAGGACATTTAGAATGAGTATCTCAAGGGATTTAAACACTTGGTTTGCATTCTAAATGCTGAATGATCCACGCATCTTACAAATAAGTAAGGATTTGTTGTGACGATCATACGCCTAATTACTGGACATTAGAAAACAGAACTGACATCAAAAACTGTTCCTGTGGATCACAGAAAGCTTAAGGATGCGAGACGAAATGCACTTCTCGTATCAGAGAGAAAATTTTAAAATATATAGATAGAAAAATATTATTAACGGTGGTAATAATTTATGAAACAAGTCTTTTAAAAATGTAGGCTGTAGGTATGTAGAAATACAAATTCGTTTTCTCAGTAGGGTAAATTTCACTTTATGATGTCACAAGTTATGTGGAGTAAAGAAAACATTTTTTAGGACTTTGGACAAAGATGTTATATATCGTTTTCGAAGGATAATAATGAAATTAATTGTCAAATTATTTTGAGGTATAAAGCTAACTCTGGAGTCTTCTTGATTTCTTTCTTGCTGAGATAACCTCTTCGTCAATAGACCTCAGAAAGTAAGTAAACATCATTACACAGTTTCCAGAATCATCCCCTACAAATCTTGTTACTGTCATTAACATGGTTTAAAACTGATCATGTTTATGAGAAACTTGCAGGTGGTGCAGAAATAGAGGCTTCTTGCTGTAGGAAGTCACATCTATTACACCGTGAACTGCGCGCCATCATCAGAGAAAAATCCCCAGAAAGATTTTAAATCGCTTAGAGTTACGCAGTTTTAATTGTAACTGAGTAGAAATCAATCCGTTCGCTTTTGTAGGGTTACTGCAGCACCAATTTTACGATGCCTGAAATTTCAATTACATTTAATTGAATATTTAACATCGTCTTAACTGTATATTCCTCTTACAGTTTCTTAGTATCTTTATCGCTGATTTAATAGCATCAAACATTTGTTTTATACTCTTTCGTATATACGGTCTCATCGTCAATGGATATTGATATCTTAGGTATTAAAACTTCGGAGTTCTTTGGCTGTTCGTTTTCTTCGTTACGGGACGCTATATAACTGGGCTGCTGCCTTGATTTTATGCCTTTCAATTGAAAAGCTGGAAGTGATGGTTTACGGCTGCCCTGTTCTTTTTCCTCTGGGTCACGACCTTTCTCCTCGCTTGAGCCTCTGTGTCCTGAGACCGCGCAGTTGTCGGGGCTGGTCCCTGCAACTTTACTGCTATTCCTCTCGGAAGATGTCGAAGGTAACGGCACAAGGCTCACTCCCGTCCCAGTCCCTGAGCCCTGACAATCGAAGGGGCTGACCCCGGGGCAGGGTCAGTCAGGGTCGTAACGGCAGTCTATGCGGAGGATGACGAGAACGGCTAAGATGGTGATTGAAGTGAGGGTGAGCTCAATCACAGCGAGCACCAGGACGGTTCCACTCAGCTCCGACGACTCGGACCCCCTGCAGTTAAGAAAACTGAGTTAGTGCACTGGGATTTTACTGCCCGGGCACTATAACTGATATTGCAGGGTGTCCCACGTAACTAGGAAACCACCTACTAACACGTGACGGGTATGGTCTACGCTGAGACCAACTTATTTCTTAGCAGTTCGCCCGCTGTTGCGGCATGCTGACATGGTTGGTCCGACGTTAGGTGGGACACCGTGGAAAACTTACTTCTGCACAACAAAGTCCATGGAGTACGGTTCTGATAGTCGCTCAGCTGACCACCCCTTGTCTGTTGTTATTTTTAACTAACCTGCGTTTCTAGAAATCGTCTGAATATGGCTGTCTTCTGGGTTGTTGCGCCGTGTAGTCTCGTAGAAGTTTACCGACGTTTCAGAAGTACTTGCTGCCTCCATCATCATGGCGAACGCCCTCGCTGTTTCAGAGGTACCTGCTACATCCATCACCAGGCGATCGCCATGATGATGGAGGCAGCAAGAACTTCTGAAACGTCGGTAAACTTCTACCAGAATACACGGCGCAACAACCCAGAAGACAACCATCGCCCTGATGATGGAGGCAGCAAGAACTTCTGAAACGTCGGTAAACTTCTACCAGAATACACGGCGCAACAACCCAGAAGACAGTCATCTTGAGACTCAAAGCCGTGGAAACCTGAAATCTGACCCACCCGTGGTCGAACGAGCTTGAGCTCGCGACGCTGCGGTACGTGGGACATAGGTAACTGTGCCCATGCAGGGGGTGGGGCGTCTCATGGGTAGCTTCGGGTTTTACAAACGAAATGATAAAGTTAAGTGCCATGATCAGGTGTCGTGAAAAGTAACAACGGGATAAATTGTTTTCATAAAATTGTAGTGAGCCAATAAAAGTTACGTCCGAAAACTAGAACATGTAATGATTTCTTTTAAACTGTTGTACAGTTAATCCCAATGGGTTACTAGAGATGCTTTCAAGGGGTACCATAAATCCTTATTCATATACATTATGGGTTACAGTGGGTAAAAAAACTAACAGGCTTCTCAACCTGAAATTAGTTCTCGTAGCTTCCGGAATTAAAATTAATATAATTAAGCTGTAATATGTATAAATGAAACTTTCGTGGCAATTGAAGTTGACGAAAGACTCTCGGGTTACAAGCCGTGTCAGGTGGTAGAACGGTGTATAAGCCATATCTTCTGCCAACGTTTCGAGAGCAATCTTTGCTCTCATCTTCAGGGCTGCTGCGTAACAAATCTGGTCCTTTGCAGCGCGCTCGCCGATGAGTTCCTAGCAGCCCTGAAGATGAGAGCAGAGATTGTTCTCGAAACTTTGGCAGAAGATATGGTTTATTCACCGGACAGCCACCTGACGCAGCCTGTAATATGTACTTTTTTCTATTAACAAAAAAGTTGCTTGTGTATTTCCGAATATCTTTTGCATGGGGTTTCGCTCCATGAAGACGTACAGGGTTATTCATAATTCCCTGACACATTACAAAAATCGCTAGACTTGAATGGTGCTATGGATGGTAACATAGGACATGCCGATAGAAAGAGGAACTCTCCAAGTTTATTTTACATACCTCATAAATGCTCTATGTGTCCGCCATTTGTGGCGCGTCAGACGTCAAGCCGATAACCCATTTCCGCCCACACCCGCTGCAGCATGTCACGATTGATTTGTGAAATAGCAGCGATGATTCGTCTTAGCAGCTCAGGCAGATCCCGTGGCAGAGACGGTACAAAGACCTGGTCCTTAACGTACCCCCATAAGAAAGAATATCATGGCGTGAGGTCAGGTGATCGGGGTGGCCAACGAAACAACGCATGATCATAGAGCATTTATGAGGTATGTAAAATAAACTTGGAGACTTTCTCTATCTATCGGCATGTCCTATGTTACCATCCATTGCACCATTACAGTCTGGCGATTTTTTTAATGTGTCAGGGAATTATGAATAACCCTGTATAACCCCTGCAGTAGATGGAGATCAGTGGTGAGTTTGATGTTTCTTTCATTACTTTTTCGAGGAAAACCAAAGTTTTCTTGCCCATGGACACCAAGTGAGATTACACAGCATCAAGTGACAACGTTGTTAATGGATAGGTTTAATGAATTGGAAGGGGTGTGGTTAGAAGAGGTAGTGGTCGAGTTTAAGGTATTATCCCGGCACTTAATGACAAAAACCACGGTCACTAAAGTCTATATTCAGGCCAAGATTTGAAACACTGACCTCCGAAATAAGAATCAATAGTGCTGACCACTGGGCCCGCTATGTTAGATTCACATGGTTTTAATCCTGTATCTTATGTCAGACTAAATAAGAATGGTCGTAAAATATTCCATGCTGGACAGAATAAATGTTATACATATAATAACTTTAATAAATTTTAAAGGTCTTTCATGCATTCGTCTTTGTTGCAACAAAGATGACTCGTACTGTTTTAATTCCATTTAGTTTGCCTTGCATTGGCACATTTTATTTTCGTCTTTTACAGACGGAAATACATATATAGTGCCATATGTAACATTTAACGTGTCTCACACATACAGTTTACCTGTCATCTCGTAGATAGGCCTGGACATATTACGCTTTTTGTTATAATTTATAATAACTCTGAATATGATAAATATGTTTAATTTGATGCAAATAACGCCGTGTGGACTCGTGGATACCAACGTCTCGGAGAGACGTATCTCCATCTTCATTTCTGAAGATGGAGGCAGTATTTCTCTTAAACGTTTATTTCTACCTACAAGTCCATACGGCGTCATAATCCACAAGAAAAATACTGTCACACTTTGAACAAATATGTCATTTGTGTCTGTACTAACATTTGTCAGGCAGATTTAATATTTCTCCTGGGATGTTGTGCTATATAGTGTGGTAGACGTTTACCGACGTTTCAAAGGTGCTTACTGCCTCTATCATCACACATCGCCCTGATGATAGAGGCAGCAAGCACTTTTGAAACGCCGATAAACTTCTAGCAGACTACATTGATCTACATACTACATGATACTCATCTTAATACTTTTCGGCGTGAGAACCTGTAATCATCATCATCATCATCCTTTCCCGTATTAGGCCACGAGACCTGTTACGGTCTTGTATTTTCCGTCCATCTCTTCTGAGGTCGGCCGAGAGATCTTTTCCCAATAGGGCGGTATTTCAAAATTGCCTTTGGGAATCTACTGTTGGTCATTCTATCCACATGATTTATCCAATGTTGTTGATATTGCCAGATGTAGTTCATTACAGGTTCCATCTGAAGTTCAGTCAGAATGTCCTCATTTCTCATTTGGTCAAGTTTGGTGTAACCCGCAATTCTTGTCATGAATCTCATTTCGCAAGCTGTTATTCTGCTAATATCCTGTTTTTTTATTTGAGAGGACAGGTCTCGCGAGAATGTTGTAGAGGCGTAAGTGGGTATGTTTCTGAATATGTGAGGGCTTGAAGACATTATTGATAATACCCATTGTTTTCGTGTATTTATTAATTTTTTGTAAAATATCCCTTTCTTCTTTAAAGGTTAAATTATATTAAATAATTCAATTCATTCACCCTTTCCAGAATTTTGTTGTCTAGACATATTTTGCTTCGGATGGGTTCTTTACATCAGAATGCCATGATTTTTGTTTTTTCAGATAAAATTTCCATATTATATTGCCTTCTAATTTTATGGAGATTATGATCTGAGCGTTGTAAGTCATCTTCTGACGGCGCCAATAATGCCAGATCGTCCGCGAAAAGTAAAACATCGATTTGCAGATTTCTATTTATTGGTATACTGCCATGAGGTGTTTGTTTCCATTCCTTTATGAGTGTATTCATATATATTATAAATAGCAGAGGTGATAAGCCACAACCTTATCGAACGCCAGTATTGATTGGTCTCCAGTCTGTTAAAGTATCTTCAATTTTGATTGATATTTTGGTGGATTTGTATAAATTATAAATATTAGAAATGATTTGCTGTGGGATATTATCTTGTGCTAGAATCTCTAATAATTTAGATCTATTAACTTTATCAAATGCCTTTTTGAAATCAACGAAGGCAATTTGGGTTTCCATATTAAATTCCCTCTGTTTCTCTATTAGAATTGTTAATGTGAAATAATCATCACAACAGGATCGTCCCTTTCGGAAACCATTCAGCTCTTCCCCAATTTTGTCAGAATACTGTTTACTAAGTTTATTCTTGATAAGATTGACGTATATTTTATAACCTGTGTTTAATAGGCTTATGCCTCTGTAGTTTTCACAGTCCTTACGGTTTCCTTTCTTGTAAATTGGGATTACAATGGATTTCGACCATCTTTCAGGTGTTTCTTCCCCATTCCAAATTTTGTTCAGAAATTTAAGAAATCGTTGAAAGAACAATGGCGTAGCAAATTTAAACAACTCCTGGTTTATAGAATCCTCTCCTGGTGCTTTATTGCTTTTCAGATTTTGAATTACTGACAATAGTTAATCCATTGTGATATTCTCTATTTTGATTATTATTAGAATATTGTATTTGGAGATCATCTGTGTCTTTTGTCCATAGTTACTGAAAATAATTTAACCATGTTTGATGTGAGATGCAGTTAATTCGAACTCCTTCGTTTGTTTCTTTACCCAGTTGTTTTAGAATTTTGAAGGTTTTGGGTTGTGATCTTGTTATGTCATTTTCTAAATATGACACAAAACTTTCCCAATCCTTTCGAACTTCTCTTTTGGCTATTGGTCGTTTTCGATGGTATTCTATTTTATCCTCTTCTATTTCGGCTCCTATGAAAACTCTACAGTCTAGAATCAGATCTGAAAATGTTGCGTTGCCTATTATATAATCTATGATGATTTTTGGTTTCTAGCCGACCATGTGAATTTATGGACATCCTTGTGTTCAAAAAATGTATTCAACTGATTATAAACCGTGAAATCAATTAATCTTACACCATTTCTATTGCAGGTTTGCTCACCGTGTATTTGTATATACCTGTCTGTTTTCCTATTGCCAACTCGACTGTTA